AGACCTTATACTATTTCAGACAAGGTCCCTTCCAATTCTGATTATCTAACCTTCCAACAAGCAAAGTCAATGAGGAAAGCAGATTCACTTAACAACAGACTTACTAACTTAACAACTGCAGTGACTCACTCAACAATTGTGGCAAGCAAGGTCATAAAATGGGACCAAATTCACTTAACAACTGACTCAGTTAACAACAGAAATGTTGGACTCAATTGTGTTTGTAAGTCGAGGATTGCCTGTACGGATTTCTCATGAATTCAGAGCAAAAGGACTAGAGGGGCTATGATTCAAAGGCAAATTTTATTTACTTATTCATTTGTATCCTTCCTTTATTAATTTTATAAACACTCAAGGCGACAAACATATTCAACGCAACTTCCTTCTCCCCCTCCCTCCCCCACAACAAGAATTGTGTGAGGTGGGTTGGTTTCAGAGGGAGTGACTGGCCCAAGTCATCCAGCTGGATTTCATGACTAAATTGGGACTTGAACCCATAGCCTCCCACTTTCTAGCCTGGTGCCTTAACTACTGGACCAAATTGGTTCTCTAAATAAATAAAAGATTACTTTTCTAGTTTTCCTTATAGCACATGTTTTTATTTTACTTTTTTCTGTGCTGCTTTTCAAAAAAATAAACTTAGGGGGGAAAAATCATAAACACACCCCAGCATTTTCAAGGCTAGGTTCAATTTAGAATTTCTTGTCCTCTACGATCTTCTTTTTCCTGTTCCACAATATAGAAGATGAATACCAGGAAATGCCCAACTCTCTCTGGCTGGTCACATGAACAGCATTCTGAAAATTATCTTGCGTTTGACAACAGCTTTCCAAGCCATAGCCATGTTAATCAGTTCTGGCAAAATAAGCATCAATTCTTTTCTCTCTCTTTTTTTTTCATCAGAATTTTACCCTCTTCTACTTGATCAATAAAAGTTTACTTTATCAGATGCATGGAAAACAGAAATATTCCAGAACAAACGTGTTTGATCTTAAGGAGCTATCAATCCCCATTATTAGATTATTATAGCAACATAAGGATGCAGTGGCTCAGGGGCTAAGACGCTGAGCTTGTCGATCAAAAAGGTCGGCAGTTCGGCGGTTTGAATCCCTAGCACCACGTAATGGAGTGAGCTTTTGTTACTTGTTCCAGCTTCTGCCAACCTAGAAGTTTGAAAGCATGTAAAAATGCAAGTAGAAAAATAGGGACCACTTTAGGGGGAAGGTAACAGCATTCCATGCGCCTTCAGCGTTTAGACATGACCACGGAGACGTCTTCGGACAGCGCTGGCTCTTCAGCTTTGTAACGGAGATGAGCACCGCCCCTTAGAGCCGGAAACGACTAGCACGTATGTGCGAGGGGAATCTTTACCTTTACCTTATTGATTTATTGATTTGATTTCTAACACAATCCATCTCAGAAAATGACTCTGCAATTAATAATTGAACAATTTAATTTTTTTCAGCTGCAAGAATGGTTACAAGTCTACTGTTTCCCATTCTTCTAAAGACATTTTCCAAACTTAGCAACCAGAAGCAAAAAGCATATACAATCATGCTACTGAAATGTATGTAAAGTTTGCCTGCAGTTCCTTTCTTTCACATCTCTTTTTCCCTATTTCCACCATCTTGCTTACAAGCTTGATTGATTGCTAACAGTCTTTTATGGCAGGGGTCCCCAACCTGCAATCCGCTACCAGCCCATGGCCCATTGAAAACCAGGCCACATAAGTGGCTGCCAAGCACATGAAGGTTTGTTTGCACATGAGTAAAATTAGGTTGCATACACACAATCATCCTCTTCTTCCCAATGCTGCCACCACCGCTGGTCCGCAGACCCAAAAAGGTTAGGGACCAGTGTTGTACTGTTGGAAGAAAAGTCCATCTGGGTTCAATTCCAAGTGGGGAAGAAAGACACTGGAAACATGGTGACTGCTTGGAAAGATGGTTTAATGGTGGACAGGATCACATGCCTTGGAGCTCTTGGGCAAAGAAAAGGGGAGAAGTGCTGAGAGTCCCTGGGTTTTATACCCTCTCTGGCTTTGAACTTCCTGCGGCACAGGAAGCGTATCCTGATTGGTTGCTCTCAGAGGTCATAGGTAGTTGTGTCCTAAGTTTTGTTGAAACTTCCTGGGTGATGCAAAGAAGGGCCATGAAATGTCTCTACCTGAAGGAGGTAGATCTTTGCTATGTAGAATAGACTGGCCCAGGTCTTAATGGCCCATCAACAAAGGTGGGAGGGGGGCTGAATTTCTGCCTCTCTGAGTTTCTACTTCTCTTTTAGGGCAAACATTCTGCCTTTTTAATATATCCTAAAATCTTTCATTTTTCTAAGAGAGGGGTGGGTTTTAACTTCCAACAATACAGTATACATTTTGAAATTCCCTGGTAATATCATTCCATAAGAGAATTATCCTTTCCCCCAAACATTCTCAGCAAGCACAAAACACTTTATAACAGTGGTAGCTAACCTTTTTGGGCTCCTGTACCAAAAATTGTGTGCACACTTGCACTCATGTACCAGCACCCAGAAGGCAATGTGCACCCGTCTCCACGCCCCCTACACATGCGCACGTAATCCCCACCCACCCCTTCGGCCTCCCAAAGGCTTGAGGAAAGCTTCTGCAGGCTTCTGCAGCCTTTGCAGGCCAAAAACTAGCCCCGTTTTGTTACTTCTGGTATTTTCCGAAAAACAGGAAGTGATGAAATGGGGCTAGTTTTCAGCCTGCAAAGCCTGCAAAAGCTTTTCTCAAGCCTTTGGGAGATTGAAAAAGGCCTCAAACCAGCTGAAAATCCACTGTGAGGTGCATGCATGCCCAGTGAGGTAAGTTTGCCTGCAGCTTCCATGCTGGCACAAATGGCTCTGTGTGCCACCTGTGGCACACATGCCATAGGTTCACCATCATGGCTTTATAATCTCTAAGCCTTGTCTGCTTAAAAAAAAAAA